GCTCCTCTAGTATGCAGTAAAATATCACCGAAAACTATGTTCCCCCCGCCCTTGCTTGGGAGAAGCTGTTCCACAAATCCAGCCCCGGCTTACAAACGAACCTCCCGCCACACCGGCTCTCACCCAGTTGCGGTTACCTAAAGCGAATCAAGACGACACTCTCAATAAAACTCGACCAGTACAAGCTAGACAGGAAGAACCGCGATTTACATGATTTTATACCGTCCGAAATCTCGCGATAGAAGTGACGCAAGGTCGATACTCCTATCGGTTGGCTCCTTTTCCCGCTCTCTTCCTGCCCATTGCTTCGAGATGCAGCGCCAGGATGACTTTGCAGATTTGTTGCGCCTTAGCGTTCGGTGTGGGTGATTGTCTAGAGACTCTAGAGAGCATTCAGATTACAATTCGGAGTGATGGAAAGATAAATGAATTCGAGGCAGTCTGGCGGCGTAGTGTGCTTTTTCCTGTGTGGGGGAAAAAAACTCCCTCCGAGTGGTTCTTTTGGAGCCCGTTATCAGATATTGCTAATATTGTTAATTATAATGTTGCTAAGTAATTAGATATCCCTCCACGTATATTACCGAAACGTTGTGTAATCTACATACAAAAATGCAAAGTCACGAGGAATTGGCCTTTTCTAAACAAAAAGGAACATTTGCATTACACATCAGCCCAAAGGTGTTTTTTTCACAAGTTAGTATTTATATAATTTGCAGTCATGTGATTGTTAGCCCTCTTTCTGAAAATAATTGAGGTCACTTGGAGGTTTATCTGTGCCCTCAGGGTCACCTGAATCCTTCCATTCTCCACCATTCAGCCAGAACCAAAGAAGCTTCTTGGATGAGAAGCCAAATGTCTTCTAGCAAAACAAGGAAGTCCAGTTGCCTTTTGAAAGAAAGCACCTTTGGGACAACCATGATCTGGACAAATGAGAATCTTCATAGACATTACACTTCAGCATTCTTACCCTGGTTTATAGTAAAGCATCTCAAAGAATTGAGATTAAGGCCCAAGGAAATTTGTTTGGTCAACTCAGTAATGCTATCTTTATCTAGAAAAGTAGTGGATTGTGCTAATTTATCTCAGTTGACTCATATTTTACTAAAATAACCAAACCTAGGTTGCATGATGTGCTAGCAGGAGTCACACAACAACCCTGCAACTATATTTAACCTTGAATATTTAAAATGCTACACAAAGCTAAGTTGTTTAACAACCATGGTAGCCAGATTCACATGTAGCAATCTGACTTCTGGTGTCTAAAAGGTTTCTATTTTATCCTCTGTGGTGGGAACGTTAACTGTGGACGTGGGAAAGTTCAGCACGGTGAAGGATATACAGGTCTTAGGTATTGGTGAGTTGAAATGGACTGGAATTAAACGCTTTCAGTCAGATCATCATACGATGAGAAAAAGGTTCGGAAGCATATTGCATAATACAGTATGTTTAGCTATGGTAAATTCCCACCTTAGGCATGAAAGCTGGGTGATCTTGGGCCAGTCACTCAGCCCAAGCCACCTCACATGGTTATTGTTGTGGGGTAAGAGTGTTATGTATCTTCACCACCTTGAGTTATTTGTAAAGTAACAATGGGATAAAAATCAAATAAATACATAAATTTAACCATTATTAATTGACAGTATTTGATTTCCTATGTTTTTATGATTTAATGAATTATAAACTGATCACAGTAATTGAATTTGTTGTTATTAGTTGCGAAGTCGTGTCCGACCCATTGCGACCCCATGGACAACATTCCTCCAGGCCTTCCTGTCCTCTACCATCTTCTGTAGTCCATTTAAGCTCACACCTACTGCTTCAGTGACTCCATCCAGCCACCTTATTCTCTGTCGTCCCTTTCTTTTATTGCCCTCAATCTTTCCCAGCATTAGGCTCTTCTCCAGTGAGTCCTTCCTTCTCATTAGATGGCCAAAGTACTTGAGTTTCAACTTCAGGATCTGGCCTTCTAAAAAGCAGTCAGGGTTGATCTCTTGGACTGACCGGTTTGATCGTCTTGCAGTCCAAGGGACTCACAGGAGTCTTCTCCAGCACCATAGTTCAAGGCCTCAATTCTTTTGCGCTCAGCCTTTCTTATGGTCCAGCTTTCACAGCCATATATTGCAATTGGGAAAACCATGTTCTTGACTATGTACTTTTGTTGGCAGGGTGATGTCTCTACTTTTTAATATGCTGTCTAAATTTGCCATAATTTTCCTCTCCATGAGCAAGCGTCTTTTAATTTCTTGGCTGCAGTCTCCATCTGTGGTGATCTTGGAGCCCAGGAAGATAAAATCTGTCACTACCTCCATTTTCCCCCCATCTATTTGACAGGAATTGAGAGGGCCAGATGTCATGATCTTGGTTTTCTTAATGTTGAGTTTCAAGCCAACTTTTGCACTCTCCTTCTTCACCCACATCAAGAGGTTCTTTAGTTCCTCTTCACTTTTTGCCATTAGAGTGGTATCATCTGCATATCTTAGGTTGTTGATATTTCTCCTGGTAATCTTAATTCCAACTTTTGATTCATCTAGCCCTGCCTTTCTCATGATGTGCTCTGCATATAAGTTAAATAGACAGGGTGACAGAATACACACTAAATACTAGTCTACAGAATCCAATCTGAGTTGGTCACTGGGACCAGAGGTTTATTCTTCCAAGTTTTTGGACTCACGCTGCAGCCCATCCTCATGGAACCTCGGTCTCCAGAAGGTGTGCATTGGGCTGTTCAACACGTATTTATATGGTGCCTAATTTATTTTTCTATAAATGATGCAATTCAATAATTATGCATTGAATGATACTTGAACCAGATTTTGCTCTAGTTTCAGTGGGATTAGTTTAGTGTTTAGTGAGGCATTAAAAACTCTGAAGTACTTATTTTTCCTGTAGTATTTTTTTTCCCTTGTTCTTCAACTTATTTTCCTACTCTACTTTCCCCTGGGTAATCTCTCATTTGCTGTGATTATAACAGCTATATAACACTACTGAGGCATAACCATGTGAAAGGCAAACTGGGATTTGCTTCTCTACATTTCGGATTTGGGCCAAATGCATGGAGCATTTGTGATGGTAGACTGAGAATACAATAATAAATTATTTCAGAAACAAATAACACCTACCCAAATCCCAGTTGCCTTTATGAATGTGCCAGTATTTCCATAAACATACACATACAAATTCAGTCAATGGTGGAAATATGATGAAAAATCTTGTTACTAAAACAGCAGTAGCATACAAAAATGGATTAACATTAAAGGCTGAACAAGATATATAGTGTATTCTTGAAGTGTTTACACAAATATAAGATATATGACATTAAGTGGTTCTTATTTCCAAATAACTACGCACAGGAGTTGAAAAAGTAATGTTGGAAGCAAGCTGAAATGCTTTTATTCTGATTCAGCAAGAAGCTTCTTATGAATTGTGTTGCAATATTTATCTCTGGAAATAAATTATTTTTAAAATACAATACAGAATATGTTACCTTATCTTTTGTGGTTAATGTTTAACTAATATAAATTAAAAAAAAGTGCCAATCACAGCAAAAATGAAAAAGATACATTAATCAATAAACAGAATTCATTTCAAAGTCCATCTAGACATGCCAAGAAGTATGTGAAATATTGCCATATTCATAGGTATAATCACTCTAAGCAATAATTTACTTAACCGTAGTTTACTGAATAAACCATAACTGACTGCAAAACATGAGTCCAAATGCAATGATAACATGATAAATCACATTGTGTATTAACTACATTGTGTAAATAAAACCAAAATAAAGGTCTATGAAATATGTATCCTATGATTAGGAATATGGCTAATCTGAACTTTTTGGGGTAGTTTGTCCACTTCCAGAAAAAATAGTCTATGGTAATCTGGATGTGGCTGCCCCCATGTCCTCATTCCACTCCAGAATGCTGAGGTAGGAAAATTCTAACATAAAAGTGATGTGTGAGGTATTATCAAAACATTGTCCAGACAGATCATAAAGGTTTGAACAGAAATAATAATGGCTATCCAGTTTGGTGTGTAGCAGTTAGAGGACTGGAGAGATCAATTCAGACACTAATTATGAAGTTTTTTGGGCTCTGATTCATAGCCATAATAATAAGCAATCTACCAGGCTGCTCAGCAACAAATGAATATCATCTTTTTTTCCCATCCCACACCTCACATTCTATGTAGTTATCTAACCATCAGCCACAGCTGCAATGCTGTATTAAAATAATAGTTGTAAATTATGATCCCAATGGGTAACAGTTGTTTATATTTGATGATTGGTAACTTTAACAAGCTTTATCCATTTAAAATCATTTGCTTGTTATTTAGCATATTGTAAGAACTCAGTTGAGAATAGCTGAATTCTACCACGTGTACTTGATGAAGTCACTCCCAGTCATGAACCTGAGTCTGTATATGCAGCACACATATGTGCACAATTGCTGCATGTTAAAACACCTAAATAGAAACTTTTAAAAACAGAAACTGATGGAACATTTTTTTTTATAAAATCAGTGATTATGTTCATACATCTTGCTGATCGCTAACCCTTTACTTAATTGGCTGTGTTTATGGAACATTCTGAAGGAAGTTAGCCCAAAGAAGGAAATATTAAAAAGGCAGAAAAATATATTTTTCCTCAAAAGGACTTTTTAAAACCAAACCTGGCCCCAAATCTATCTCTCTGCCCCAAGCAAGACTTTAGCCCCATACAAATGCAGATATAAAACCATCAGAAAGTTGAAGCCAGAGCAATCAAGAAGACAAAAGAGAAGATCTGCATACCCCACCCAAACTCTAGGAGTCAGCCCCATCACCTGGGAAGCAAGATAGGATAATAGAATTAAACCACAGATATCAGGGCCTAGACAAACTCAGAAACAGCCTCAAAGTTCATGCCACAGGAACAGGAAACTATTCCAAACAAGGCTAGAGGGGGTATAAAAGCCTATTGCCCCATGTGCTCAGCCCTTCTCTCGCCTCTGCACTTTCCTGAAGAACCATCTTTCTGCAATAAACTGTAACCTTCTTCCCAAAGCAGTCACCATGTTTGCTTATTTATTCCCAGCTTGGATGAACCAGGATGAAGACCTTACTTCTAACAATTCTTAATTGCCAAACCACAGGATGTGTGCCATGCTAGGCTCAAGTGTGATTACAGATAGTTAATTTGTGATTATGCTTTTAAAATTAAAAACATAGAACACAGAAGCATACGGCTGGAAGGGGCTTTGGAGGTCTTCAATCCCTTGCTCTTCAATAAATTGCACAGTCGGAGTTTATCGAAATTGGTTTCTGCTACTAGTAAGTTGCAAAATAAGGGAAATACGGTGCTCCGCAAGCCCACGTGGCTTGGAAAATCAGAAAGACTGAGGAATGCTCAGTTAAATTTCAACCCGGAAACGGAAACATTAAAGTCAGAAGAGAGGTTTTTTTTTTTTTTTTTTACTTTCTTGGGAACTCCAGCGAAGGACTAAAGAATTAGAAGGTGTGTAATGAGTGAGCTGTTGTGACTTACCCGAAGCTGATCTCCTTTGTCTTGATTTGCGTCAGTCCGGTTTGTGCACAGGGGTGGGGTGAAACGTGCGGCTGAACTGGCGGGTAGGTTAGGCTCTTTCACTCGCTCTCCTTTTCCTCTAAAAAACATCAGTGTTACGGAAGGGGAACCTCCAATCCAATTAACGGGAAAAGAATTAAATGCACGGGAGAACATTTAGACAGTATTAGGAAATTAATCACAATGCGTGACTTTATGTACTTCAAACTGCATGTTTAGTCGTATGCCTTAATGGAATTTTTCCCCCAAGTAAAGTGTAAGTTGTACTATCCATATTTTCTTGGATATTTTCTTTAAATTATAAGATTTATTTCTGAGACAATATGTCACATTTCTGGCTGGATCAGGAGCAGTTATGATAAGCTAATGATTTCGTTCCCAGGAACATAAAAACCCCACTAGAATATACTTAATACCGATCACAATCACCATTTATTGCTCTCCCTTCATATTTTGCTCTGTGCCGATCTATGTTACGTATTATTAATTAGAGCATTTCCCTGTATAAAAATAAGGAATTTCTGCTTTATAACAGCTGTATAGAATTTCAGCACGTGCAGCCTACATATTCTGTTTCACTAGGGCCTCTGTGTGTGTGTGTGTGTGTGTGTGTGTGTGTGAGAGAGAGAGAGAGAGAGAGAGAGAGAGAGAATTATCCACCTAACTCCGGTGGATTCTAATTATATATAGGTGGTATTTCATTGAGAAATATGATTATTTAAATACCACCCAACTCCCAATGATTCTGGGAACCTTAAAATCATTAAAATATTTTTAAACAAACAATAGAACACATACATACACACACAAGAACAATGAAGGTAAAGAAAATAAATAGCTCTGTGAAAAAACTCTACAGCTGATCCTAGCAAAAAATGAGGATGTTGCATAGTTGAGAGCCCTTGAAATATTATTTCCTCTTATGATTAAGCCTGTAAAACTACTTTTAGATCACTGCAGGATGTTCCTCTTGGAAACAAAATGTTTTTCATAAGCCAGGAAAGAGTAAAAAAAAAAAAAATAACAGTTAGCCATCTTCCTTTTTCCTCTGCCTGAGAAATGAGACTGTCAGCAAGAAAGGAGAATTCTTTGGACTTTGAATTCTTAGCACAGTTGAATTTTCAACAGACATGAGGATAATTGAAATCTCCCATTAGACAGACAGACAGACTTGTTTAATCATCAGTATCCCATTTTTAGGGAAAGTTGTATTGAAAGCAGCGAGTGTTTAGTATTTAGAGGGTCCTGCTGAAACAGATTATCTGGATCCATGCTTGTCAGGTATTAGATCCTATCATAGAACAGGTAGGACATTATTTGTTCTGTTCAGTGGCCTTTAGTATCTTGAGGAAATGTACCTTTTTTTTCCTATTAGCATTTTGAATGCCACCTGGCACCTTTGACCATAATGACCTATTTCAGTGGTTCTCAACCTTCTTAATGCCGCGACCCTTTAATACAGTTCCTCATGTTGTGGTGATCCCCAACCATAAAATTTTTTCGTTGCTACTTCATAACTGTAATTTTGCTTAAGAATCGTGTTACTAATTTAATCTCTCCCTCCCTCTCTTTCTCTCTCCCTCTCTTTCTCTCTCCCTCCCTCTCTTTCTCCCTCTTTCTCCCTATCTTTCTCCCTCTCTCTCCCTTCCTCTTTCTCTCTCCCTCTCTCCCTTTCTCTCTCTCCCTCTCTATTTCTGTCTCCCTCTCTTTCTCCCTCTCTCTCTTCCTATTTCTCTCTCCCTCTCCCTCCCTTTCTTTCTCTCCCTCTCTCTCTCCCTTCCTCTTCCTCTTTTTCCCTCCTTCTTTCTCTCCCTTTCTTTCCCTCTCTCTTTCTCTCTCCCTCTTTCTCTCCCTCTCTCCCTCCCTCCCTCCCTCCCTCCCTCTCTCTTTCTGATCGGGGATTGATTTGGAGGTGTGGAGGGGAGGGGAGTGGCCGAGGGCTGCCTGTATGACCGGGCAGAGTGGGCGATGGGAGAGGAGCGAGCCGATCGCCTTCCCGGGAGCTGGGACTCCAGTGCGTTTTCCCAGCCAGTGGGGCCTACGGTAGCGCCAGGATCCCGTGGTTCCCCGGGAAAGGGACTTCCTGGCTGCACTTCTCAGGGGGTGGGGCGCCCGGGCGCAGGGCCAATCAGAAGCCCCTCGAGGGGGCAAGCCTGCATAAGAGCCATGCCCTTTCTGTGGGGGAGAGACACAATGAGGGAGCCAACCAATCGCGGGATGTAGATTCTGACGGACGGCCGGCCTGAGCTGAGGAGCCGGCGATCGCCTCGAGCCGCCGGCATGGCCCGATGAGACCGCACTGCGCCCAACAGGCAGTACATAATGGCCAATGAGTGCCGGATGGGGGGTGGTGCTTGAGAGGTGGCTACTGAGTGCGGCACCATTGTGGCTGTCAAGCCCCGTGGGCTTGACATTCCTACAAGGGAAGGGGCCCACGCAGCCGGCCGCCGAAGCATGCAGCCGGCTGCCAGAAACGCCACACAGGAAGAACAGCTGATGGCAGCCTACCGGGCGGCGTGCGGGGCTCCTGTGCACCCTAGCATGGCCCGCCGGCGCCTGGTTAGAGCAGCTGGCTGGCACTCCATTGTGGCCAGCTCCGGCGGGGCGGGGATTCCCTGGTGTCATGGAACGCGGCACGGCAATGTCACCAATGGGTGGGGCATCCCGAGGAGGCTGCTGGCACCTGGTTGAAGCAGCTGACTAGCATTCCATTGTAGCCGGCTCTGCCGGCGGCGGCAGGGATTCCCCACAGTTTGCAGCTTCTGCTGTGGTGCCCGGATCGGTTTCCCAGCATGTGGGCGTTGGAATGTTCGATCAGTATACCAGTTGAAAAGCCTTGGGATAGAGGAGTAGTGTCTCGGTTCCTAAGACCTTCGGAAATATGTGTTTTCCGATGGTCTTAAGTGAACCCTGTGAAAGGGTCGTTCGACCCCCAGAGGGGTCGCGACCCACAGGTTGAGAACCGCTGACCTAATGGATTGTCTGCTAAGGCTGGGAGTTTGAGGCATTGAGTTACAAACTGCATTCCTATCTAAGAGGGGGTTCCGCTCAATTACCATAGAGCAGTGATGGCGAACTTTTAGAGACTGAGTGCCTAAACTGCAACCCAAAACCCACTTACGTATTGTTGGGTGCCGGGTGGGTGTGGCCCATTGGATGGGCATGGCCAGTTGGGTGGGTGTGGCCCATTGGGTGGGCGTGGCAGACTGGGTGGGACTAAAAAGTTCAATCAATTCCAACTTTGCGAGATCTTTTTTTGCCCCCGCGAGAAGTTGAAATTGATTGATTGAACCTTTTTTTTTTTTTTTGCACACGGCAGCAGAGGCCTAAAGCGAAAAGTTTTTATGAAACCCAGCTGGAGGCCTAGGACTGGAGCGACGGCATGCGTGCCCACAGAGAGGGCTCTGCGTGCCACCTGTGACACGCATGCCATAGGTTTGCACAGCAATGTTCCACCACAGAGGAACATTGCTTGAATCCATGATCTCTCCCATATGAGGTGTAGCTTCTCCCCCCCCCCATGGTATTTAACATATATGAAGCTAGTAGGCAAGGTTTGTTTCATGGTACGGTGCTATCAATAAGCTGACAATTTCTACATTGCCATATCAGCGTATGCTGGATCAGTTTTTGACAGCTGAACTGGGTTTTGGAGGTTGTCAGAATCTACATGGTGCAAAACAAGTTTAAATTAAATCCACGTAGGTTAGGTTGCTTATCATCAATAAGGTTTGGGGATTCTATTAATGTTGGCTACAGTAAGACTCTTTCTGTAGTGATTCTTCCCTCAAAGAAAGAGTTCTGTGATTTAGGAGAGCTCATAATCCTGCTTAACTCTTCCTCCAGTTGTTGTCACTTTCGTTTTAGCTAATGTGCCAATTTTAGACATGGGGTGCCTTGTACACAGTGATTTGTTCCCTAATCACTATGTGATTGGATAACTGCAACCTGTTCCACAGGTAGTTCTTCATTTACGACTGGTCACCTAGTGACCGTTAGAAGTTACAATAGAACCCCCCCCCCCAAAAAAGCTACTTACTACCCAGTTTTGAAGTTATGGAAGTTGTAACATCCTCGCGGTCACATGAACAAAATTTGTGCAGATTCACTTTTATAACTGACCTCAGGGACTGTCTGTCTCTCCCCCCATACCTCCCTGCAGGGTCCCTGCAGCCCTTTTGCCTACTTTCTCCCCCCCTCCCCAAATTGCTTTTAGCGAGGCTCCTTCCATATAAATATATCTAGATTTCTAAGTATGTGTAGAAGCAAAAAGGGCTGCCCGGCTGCCATGTCCTTGGCTGCGTTGCTCCGCGTGGGCTGCACTTGGGGGTGACTCTCCTCCAGGGGGGCTGCTGGTGAGGGGGCCATGTGGGGAGGCGGGGCTGGGGTGATGGCACGCGTGCCCACAGAGAGAGCTCTAAGTGCCACCTCTGGCACCCATGCGATAGGTTCACCACCGCCTTAGGTTCGCTCATGGTGGCATGCAGGCAGGCAGTGGGGCTGGGTTTGGGACACTCGGTCTCTAAAAGGTTTGCTATCACTGACCTAAGGAATACTAAAATCCAATGCTGAAGGCCATTTATATTGTAGTGTTGTATCTTTTGCCATCACAGAAATAATAAGAGCATTAAAAACTGAAGCTGGCAGTTACTTTGCCTATTAAATGTTTTTTCATGAGTAATATTCTGACAGTGAGAAGTAACACCTGATGTACTGATATAAAACTGAAAGTTTTAATTGAGTTTGATGTGTTAATTTCTTGCCTGGAGAAAAGTTCTTAGCTCACCTAGCAGATTTATAAGGCATTATTTAAGGAAAGCCTTTTTTGTTGCTTAACTAATTCAAGATTATCAAAAATATTTAGCCATGTTAACAGGTATTGGTGGAGGAGTTAAATAATCTTATCTATAATTTAAGATGTGGAAATGGACAGAATTTGTGAATGAATATCTGGCATTCTATAATGTTTGCTATAAAATTCGGATTTCACTGTCACTCTATCACATATGAGATTGCTGGGTAGATAGGCTCGCCTATGTTCAGAAAATGACTAATACGATCATGTAAGTGGCAAACTTCAGGTACAGACCTGTCTGTAGTTCCTGCACAATTTCCTAACCAAAGTACATACTGTATATTCATATTATCTTAAAATTAGATTTCAAGGCAGGGAAGGATAGCAGCTAACTCTGTAAGACAATGAGCTTAATCTCCTGTGCCCAATCCTTCTTTTCCCTTTCTTTCTCTCTGTAGAAAGCTGAACTGTATTATAGGCCTAGTACTCCCATTCTTACACTAGATTTATGGAAGTTTTATAAATGTTATTTGTTCTGATAATGTATAATAATTGCCAACTAACTTGGAAAATACGCAGCATGTGCTGTCATTTTTCTTAACAGCAATTTGATTAGCAGATAAATATTTTCATAGCATTAACATAAAAATTAGAAAGTGATTACTATCAGGGAACCATTGATAACTTTGAAGCACGGGCTGATAAGAAGATTTAGGAATCCAAGGGAGCGTTTGTCAGCCCTTCAAGGCAGACCAGGTCTATTGAAAGAAATACTAAAATATAAGAAAGAAAGAAAGAAAGAAAGAAAGAAAGAAAGAAAGAAAGAAAGAAAGAAGGAAGGAAGGAAGGAAGGAAGGAAGGAAGGAAGGAAGGAAGGAAGGAAGGAAGGAAGGAAGGAAGGAAGGAAGGAAGGAACAATCTTGGAAGCCGGATAGTGTTTTTCCTTCTATTCTCCTTATATCAAAGATAATCAAAGGTGGAACAATTTTGAATTTTTCTTAATAAGTCCTGTTTTCCCAGACTAAACTTATGTTTTATCAATGGTCGATGTATATTTTTTTAGGACTGTTCCATATTTCTCTACAGGTTAGAACCTGGTCTCCAAAATACCGATTGTTTTTTAAAAAAATTGTTCAGCTCCCTGATGCACTTTAGAAATTTGAGATGGCTTTTTCTTATTGCAATCTGACATGTGTGGATCTGTGTGTTTTATTAGTGTAAAATATGATATGCGTGGTTTCTCAGTCAATCTATCCCATGGCAAGCAGCCATTAAAATCTTATTTTGGTAGTGTTGCTTTTATCCACATTACTAGGCTGGGATGAAAAAAGATGCTTGTAGTTGTTTGCTTCCTCACAGAGAGACTTTTAGCAATACTCATAGTTGTTCCCACATGTTTGAATTGGGGAAGATGTTCTGTTTTGGAGACTGATGAGTTATTTCTGTAGAATTCCGTATTTTTGGTAATTTAGAAAAAAGGGTTCACAGATCTTTACCCATGGAGTTTATATATTTAAAGTTAGATATAAGGAAATGATTTCAAGAAAGAGTGAGGGGAGTAAATGCAGGAGTAAACAAGATCCTTTTATTCCAAGTTCCAATAAAATTGCTTCAAGCCTAATTTCTAGCGTCAAACTTTTACGTTGCACCCTCAGAATTTTCAGAGTTTATTCCTAGAACTAGTTGTGGAGAAGTATTACAGCACTGTACTGTTAACCATAATCATTTGTTTTGCCAAGAGTAGTTCACAAGGTTGTGTAGGAACTGGCATAAAGAATTATACCTATAGACTGCCCGTCTACAAATTACTTTGAATCTAGAAGCATGCACAAAAAAACCTTAAATTCTTAGTTTGAAATGAAATATCCCTATTCAAAACGAACAAATTATATTTGGCCATTTTTGTGCATAGCTCCAGAACCAAACAAAGCAACACAATTTTTGCATTTGGCAATTTGAAAACTCAGGAATCTGTCAAATGCCTATTCACTGGTTAGTCAATGAACAATAGTTTTTAATGTTTCCTATTGTGCTGTGAAAATGGCAAGGCAAGGCAAAGATGTTGGCCACCAAATCTAAAATATAGCCCTATTTAGATTGAAAATATTTTGTCCACATTGTAGGCTTAAAAAAGTAATAGAATCTGGTTCTAAACAATAAAAAGTGTCTGGGTGCATATAAACAAAAATTCATTCACACTGAAATTACGCAACATAAACAACCTGTCCCAACATAATTTCCCAAGCTATACAAAAGGCATTTTTGCATTTATTATTCTCTTGGCCTTGTTTTTGAGAACAAAGTGTCTTTGTTCAGGTAGGCACTGAAGCCATTGGATTCGTTGTTTTAGTAGGCTATTCTCTCATTTTATAATATTTCAATATATTGATTCTCTCCATTTTATTCAGGCATTACGGTATTTATTGTTATGCTTTCTGTGGTTCTTTTAAAATTGTTGCCCTTGACAGAATATAAAATGAATGCACTGAATATTAACTAAAATGTAGATGTAATATAACACTTCATCCAATTATTATTTTCTTAAACTGAATGGCATTATCAACATTAAAAATGCAGTCCAATCTACAGTTTTTCTATTTTGTGCAGTTAAATAATTAGAATATAAAATATCATAACATTTCGTTTAGGTGAAGATGCCTTTTGAATGCAACTATGTTTTGCTTCACACTGGACAAAGAATGCCTTTGGTTGGATTAGGTACTTGGAAGAGTGATGCTGGACAAGTAAGTAGTTCACTATTAAATTGGGGAAGTTAAAGTATTTAAGATCTTAATTTCTGTGTGTTGATAGAAAAGTATTTTTTTATTATCTGTTAATTAAAAGTTTGGGAGAAAAGAATAGGTTTCTTCCACAATCACATTATATTCTATATTTCCATCCTTCTTAGCCCCTTTTGCCTTTGGCATAAATCACAAGCAGTGTTACATTTACTCTAAAATTAAGGCTTGACTAGTGATTGTCAAAAGAAGAAATTCCCAGTGATGTTCCTATTGATCAAAACATAATAGTCATGATATTTTCAAGAAACTTTATAAATGTCTACAAAATACTCAATTTTCATAAAAGAGAATGGAATCTCCTGATGAAATTATGAAGAAGATACTCTGTGCTCTCCTTAATGTTAGGCTTCTGAGAAGCTGGGCAAATGTTGTGAATCAGTAGACCTTATAATGACATTCAGTTTCAATCTGCAAGATTGAAATATAGTATTGCCAATTTACTTTAGTGGTTATTTTCCCATACTTCCAAATCAGGAGTAAAAATAGCAGCCTTAGAAGTTTCGGGTGACCCACTAGGATGCATTTTCTAATCCTCAGATTCTTTTCAAGTAGCTGCAGCCAAAAGTTGCATCTCCAAAAATGGCTGTGGCCAGAACTTGTTGGGATTATATAATAGATGTCATTCTTTAAGATACCTGAATTCCAAAACGTAAAAAAAAATCTAGATAATAGAAACTAATAACATATAAGGGAAAAAAGAAATTAAATAAAAATAAAAGAACAGAGAAAAAGAAAAACACTTCTGTATGCACTATCAAAATAATAGCTCCATCTCTGTACATATTAGTACATCTCAGATTTAAAAAAAAACAGAAAACCTTCTCCATATGGATTCATATTGCCCAATATTTTCTTTTTCTTTTAATACTGTAAAGCCAATTGAAAGGCTGAGAGTTAACCAGTTTCCTTTAGCCAACCTTTAGAATGTAGTATGCACTGGTTCTTCCAGGATCATGGTTTTTGTGATGGTCCAAACTTGTTATATACAGAGCTCTTCATACATTGACAAGTTCTATATACTGGGATATAATTTAACAAGCATTTGAAATCATTAAACTTTACCTTCCTCCTAAGAATCTGGTTCACCATAACAGTGATGTCTAACCCAGGGTTGTCCATCCTTGGCAACTTTAAAACCAGCCAGCAGGTTTTAAAGTTGCCAAGGTTTGATGACCCTGATCTAACCAAACAAACTCCCAAGGGGCATGTCTAAAGAATATACACTAGAATATGGTTGACTACACAAGCACTACAAAGACACTGAATTTTTTTTTTGTGCCACTGTGTCATCCAGCCAAAGGAACAAAGGAACAAATGTACCAAATTATGATTAAGTGTGAAGTATGACCAATCCAAAGTAATTTAGCATATTTTGTAGCTAGAAGAAATTTGAAGCCAGAGTCAGTATTGTGTAGTTGTTGGAGAATGCATCAACTCTGTATTTATGAACCCGTTCTGACTACCAGGCTAAATGATGACAGACAGACAGGTGTTCACACATAAAGCCCTATATCTGTTTTTCATATGAACTCTAGTTAGTTAAGTAAGTAAGTAAGTAAGTCTCTGTTTAAAAGAGAATGGGAATTTCCTATTTCTCTTATGCTTCTCTGTCTTCAAGATATAGGTTGGGCAAAAGTAAGAGTTTTCTGTCTTCTTAATAATTTTTTTTGTTATTATTGCTATCTAAATATTATTATTTCAGAACTTTGGTTATATTCAGAAGCATATATGCTAAATTCAGCTTTTTAGCAATAGCACAGTGAATAGAAATCAAGGCAAGATACTACTGTGTGTAGCAGAGAGCACTGAAATATAATGAGAAACCAAAGTAGTTACAGAGGCACAGCTGGATGTAAGGAAATTTGCAGAATTAAGGTTACAGTTTAGCTATTATTCAACCTGCCTGCAGCAAGTAGCAATTCACTTTGGCTGATCTTGAAAAAGCTAAGAAGTAGGACGTGGTGATGTTTGAATGAGAGAGCATGTAGAAATTCCAGCCGTGGGTGGTTTTAAAAATCACTTTCCCAGTTTCACCAAGAAAACCTGTATTCATGAAGTCATCAGGAGCCAAACTCAATTCAAGGGGGATCTTTTCCTTTTACATGATTTGAACAAGATATTTCCTAAACCCATTTCCCCATTCTTACAATTGGTAGCTATTTATTAAGGCAAGAATGCTGGTGAAATAATCAGATGCAAGGCAATATGGTAGATGAGGAAAACCTATTAAAATAAATACCAGGTTTTTGTCAAAAGACAGAAATAATATGCATTTCTAATTGGGCTGTTTTCTGTGGCAATTCTGACTATTGTGCTTACATAGTAATCTCCTCAGAATGCACCAGTTCTACTGAGAATGCAGTGAGAGTTATAGTTTTTTCCCTTCGGTCATTCTCTTTTCTTTCCTCTTGGTATATATACATGTCCCCTCCCTATACAGCATATCTTAAACAACTCTTTTATAAATAAAAGAGTAGCCTTTTTGGTAAAAAGGAATATGCTTTCTCTCATTCTAATCCATTGTGTTCTTTTCATTTTTCGGTTCTAGGTAAAGGAGGCTATAAAGTATGCCCTTAGCGTGAGCTATCGCCACATTGACTGTGCTACAGCTTATAGCAACGAAGGAGAAATAGGTGAAGCACTCCAGGAGTCTGTTGGGCCGGACAAGGTAAAATAAGGAATCTCTCTGGGTTCCTGTTAGAAAGGAATGGCAGAAAGGCCAACTGTGCACAGCCATGTCTATTTCATATTAGTTCTACTTACTGAACAATTATAATTGCATCTCTTTATGTACTGTAACGTGACCATCAACAACAATGTTCTGCTGTGGTTCCGTGTTGTAAATTCTGCCTGGTTCTATTTATTTAATATTCTGTCACTCCTGAGGTTTTTGCAAGAAACACTTTAAGAGAAGACGAGGTTGGTTGTTTATGGAAGTGAAGTTTTATTAGATAGTGAGCAGAAAGTGAAGGCCAGGATCGTATTCATAATACAGATGACACAAAATATGTATATATATATATTAATCAGCAATCGTAAGATTCAGAATGAATCAGAAATATATCATGCATTGAAGAAGTATGTCTTGTTTTCTGTTTTGGATGTGTATCTTATAAAATCGGCATATAGGTGTCCCTCAACCTATATCAATCCCTCTGATTGTGGGAAGCCAGCAGGAAGTTGCCTCAGCTAGTGACTGTGGGATTTAGTTAACAACGGCAACTGGGACTACAACTGCATTGTTTAGTAATTGAAAGTCTGGTCTCAATTGCACTCTTAAGTCGAAGACTGCATGTATTATTTTTATGAACTGAATTGGTACCACACAAACCCCAGGATACCAACATTTTTCTATAAAGTATTATATTTTGCTATCTTTATAGCTGAAATGCATGTAACATACAAATGAGAAGGTGGCAAAATGTATTTATATATTTGTCACATTTGTATGCTACATGTTCCTGACAAAGTCAGTCCACAAAATCAAATAATGCCCAGTGGTCCTGCAGTGCCCACAATTTCCCTAAATATGTCCATTCACGTCAAAATATCTTTTTAATTAAATAGCCGAACTCTTGCAAAATAAGAGGACTATTTTTCTTACTACGTTTCATTTTGTTTCATTTTTTTTAAAAAATAATATTTAATCTCTAGTGCACACAAAAGCTTGTAAAATGTTACGTTGTGTCACCTGCCATAAAAAACCGCTTGATTAGATGTAGAGCTTGTCTCATGCCCCAATGATTCTTAATAATGGAAACATAAAAATCATTGCATAATGGGAACAGTTTTATACATGGTTGTTTTGAGTAAGCATGATCCACAGTGAGGAAGAAAATAGTATTTAAAATCAGGATGGAGCGATTAAGAGTTTTAGCAGATGGTAGCTTTTCTGAGATTGGAAGTTAAGCAGTGTTGGACCTGGTTACTGCTTGAATGGGACATGTAAGGAAAAATGCTGGGCTGTAATAAAACATAAATGCAAAACATAATTTAGACAGAATGAAAATTTGCTTGCTATATTTGGCATAAAGTTGGGCTAGCTAGATGTTGAAAAAAAATCTTAGAAGGCAGGAGGGGCAAGCCATTTTATTATTGGCAGCATGAAAACATGGACATACTCTTCAAATCATCAGAAGGTGAACTCAACGTGGAGGAATGAACACTAAGATAGATTACGACTAGATGAATATGGAATGGACTTAAAATGAAAAGATGAACTCTTAATATGTAAAAAAGAAGAGTTATTGTCAGGGTAGCATCTAATCATCAATTTGATCATGTTCCTGCTGCAAAAAACTCTGGAAGTGAATGTATGGATTAGAAAGAAAGAGAAAATATGCAAAACATAATTTAGACAGAATGAAAATTTGCTTGTTATGTTTGGCATAAAGTTATGTTAAATGCGACAGGGTGGTATGTTAAAACTTTGAAACACAGCACTTTTTATAGAAATGGGTTTGTTTAGATGTCTTAAGAGATCTAAACAATCTTGTAAGAATTTTAGAACTTATTTGTACTTTGGAATGAAGCTTCTCCTATTCTGCACAGATTCGTCCATTTCCTTCTCCTCAGCCAGAAATAGAACATGAAATATTAATACAGAGATATTGAATTGAGCAATATGTAAGTTAGTGCTCATCTTTGGTGCTCTTCTTTGGTGACATGTCTTCACTTGTATTAAGAAATGCTTGAAACAATAATGTTTCACTGTTTGTTGTTCTTTTTAAAGGCTGTCAAAAGGGAAGAACTGTTTGTTACGTCAAAGCTATGGAATACCAAACACCACCCAGAAGACGTGGAACCAGCTTTAAGGAAGACTCTGCAAGATCTAAAGCTGGATTACCTAGACCTCTACCTTATGCACTGGCCACATGCCTTCGAGTACGTTTTAATAAGAGAAACATTAAGAGATTAAACCATAATTTGTTATTTATTTAAACCTGGGGCACAGGGCAGGGGAACAGAGAGGGAGAGAGGCTGAAATTTACTCCTTTTTAAAAAATGTGGTGGGGGAAGTGATGTGTGATCCAACTCCAATCACAATGTTGATGTTATGTTACTTGTTCAGCAGAGTACTAAGATTCTAAGAAAAATTACATATGACTCCTGGAAGTATTTTGTTTTGCGCGTTCATTCTGGAGGGCTGCTATTAATTTGTATAGTTCATAATACTATGAAAATTTATATAGTTCTCAAGGATAAAAATGTAAACTAATGAATAGTAATTAAGTAATTATTTTAAAGTGCATTCGTTCTTAAGGGTGTTTCCAATGGATTTGCTAACTATTTTTTATAGGCGAGGGAATAATCTCTTCCCCAAGAATCCTGATGGTACAATGCGTTATGATTACATTGACTACAAAGATACATGGAAGGCTATGGAAAAATTGGTGGAAAAAGACTTGGTAAAAGCTATTGGACTTTCAAATTTCAATAGTCGGCAGATTGACGATGTTCTCAGCATAGCTTCTGTCAAGCCAGCAGTTTTACAGGTAAGCTAGAAGAAGGAAAAGAGGATGTGATTAATTCTTAAGATTATGATTAGAGTAATGGAAATGCAGTGTAAAAGAAACAAGTTGTGTTTCTTTTGAGAGGCATGTCAACATATCTGAGCCAAGAAGTGGTTTCTTAAGCAGTGGGTGCACCACACCTTCCTCTTTCAAAACTGCCAGCACCACCAGCCCTCTCAAGGATTCATTCACCACTCCTGTATCCAACCTGTTATCCCCTCACATGTACTAGCCAGGAGGAGTATTTATCTAAATACAGGTGGTGAAGTTCATCCAAGAGAGGACTTTGTTCCTGTCCTCAGCTGTCACAGACTTGAAAAAGTCCCAGATGACTTTGTAGGATGTTACCTTTGTCATCTCACAAGACTTTATAAGCATTTAATCTGAACAGATAAGAGTGATTTTATCTGCAAAATATCTAGTAAAGTGGTCATAGTGGCCTACTAGAGCAGTGGTTCTCAACCTTTTTAATGCCGCGACCCCCAACCAGTCGTAAGTCGAGGACTACTCAACTGGTGCAGCACCATTTGCAGAATGGGACTTTTGGTGGGCTCAGCAGGGCAGAGACAGCCTGGACAATTCCTATTGGCTTTTGAAAGCCAATAGAATTAGACTCTATTCAAGGGAGTCTATTCTATTGGCTTTCAAAAGCCAATAGAATAAAAGGGAGTAGCACAGCTAAGGAAAAGGGGGGGAAAAATGGCGGACTGCATTGTTTGGCGACCCCCGTGAAATGGTCGTTCGACCCCAAATGGGGTCCCGACCCACAAGTTGAGAATCATTGTACTAGAGGATCCAACAATGATTAAATAAGGTTGCTGGGCGGCCTTCTGCCAATAGATTAACTGGAGAAATATTGAAGCTTTATCACCCTTACTGCCACCTACGTTCAATCGCTTTCCCTTTTTGTTTTTCACTGCCATTGCTGCAGGTGTCTCCTATATTACCTTCTGAAGCATCTCTCTAAACCAAAGATGACTTTTTCCCCCCCTCCCCCAGATCCATGCACAGGGAGAGAGTGCTCAGGCATTCTGTCAAGTATTTTCCTCAGTTCTGTGTTTCTGAATTCAACTAAGAGTCTCAATTAAACACTCCTCAGTAGACTGCTGAGAAAGTCCCCATGTTGTCCCTTGAATCCAAGCAGACTCATAAGTGACCTGGGGCCAACCCTTTAATGCTTCTTTCTTCCCTACAGGGTTGTTAGTGGCCATTGAACATCAAGGATATCAGAAAGTGATCTGACCATTATAAAGGATTGGTATTAATGTCTTTAGGTTGGTCTAAGGCAGTGGTTCTCAACCTGTGGGTCGGGACCCCATTTGGGGTCGAACGACCATTTCACGGGGGTCGCCAAACAAGGCTGTCCGCCATTTTTTCCCCTTTTCTTTGGCCATGCCCCTGGCACCCAGTAATGTATAAGTGGTTGGGGGTCACTACAACATGGGGAACTGTATTATGGGGTCGCGGAATTAGAAAGGTTGAGAACCACTGGTCTAAGGTAAAAGCCAATCTAACATGTGACTCCAGTCTGAGTAAGGACTGTGGTAACTTGGGGCAAGCCATGGTTTCATGGCAGTCATAAACAAAACATAAACAAAGTTTATGCAATCATAAACTTCTAAGTTGTCCTATAACATACTTCCAACAGTTTGAAATTGTCTGGAAAAATAGACCACCAGCTAGGCAACATTAAGCAGTTCTGGAAGGCAGCGTGCTGGCCAGCAGGGATGATACTACAGTAGCAGTTCCCCTGCTTGTCCTTGATACCCAGTTTCATGAACAGGACCTTTGATGTAGTCATTACTACAAGAGTGCATCTGTTCACATCAATTTCTCATTGAATGTTATTGTCTCTCCTCTTTTCCAGCCTTGGTTTCAAGTTGGTATATTCATAAAACCTGACCAGGCAGCTTTTAGACAAAAGCAATCCTTCATTTTCACCTAATCCAATCTTAAAGGTATATGCCCATGCATGTCTGCTGCCTCCTCCAACCCATGGCCATGTAGGCACATGTTCTTACTCTAAATAAAACTGGAATTGAAAAGAATCAACTTGAGGCCAACTTCTCCTGCAATTCAGAATCCAGGTTCTTAGCTGGGGCTGGGGGACAGAAATGGAGATTGGTATCAGGTATCCAATTTACCTTTCTCTGTAACAGTCTGTCTTTGCTATGCCCCATACTCCCTTTGCCCATCACTACTTTGATCCTTTCCCATTCGGTCCTCTCCTGATTCTCCTCCCAATACAGGGCGCGTCCAGCCTTTCAATCCAGTCACCACCCTGTTTGTATTTTTGAATAATCATTCTGCCTTTAGAATATAGTTACCCTAGCAGAATGGGCCATGGGCACCTTTCAGCTATCCCTTCCCTTCTCCCATTCATCCCCCTCCCTATTGAAGTCAGTGTAACCTTCCATTCCAATTCCATTTTTAGTTGGTTTTTTTTCACTCTATCCTTCCTGGCTCTCCTGTAGGAAAAATAATGCTTCCTCATGCTGTAAGTTTTCTTTTCCTCCTTTGGAAGTTGGTCCTGCATTCCACCCGTTTTTGCCACGTTCCAGTGCCAGTCCAGATTTCCCATAAATACAGTGAAGTTTGCTACTCTTTCAGCATATTATCTCTCAGCTATTTGAGTTTCTCCAGAAATGGCAGTGACTAAACCACTTCTTTTTCCATGGAGCCTTGATGATGCAGAAAGTTGCTATTTATCACTGTCTTTTCTTTTTTCAGGCGAATCTTTCACCAACATAAATCTGTCGGTTAACATCACTCTTTCTCTGCCCACTCAGTCTTTTTTGCAACATTCTACAATCCGTCAAAAAAATTAGGCCACTATCTCCAGTTCTCTTCCCATCTAGACCCAGTTCTCCTTTCTCCCTTGTTATTAGCAATCCCTTCTCTTTACATGTTATGCGCTTCCTCACATTATCTTCAACTTACAGTAAAGCTTAGCCTTTGCCATGTCCCATCTCAGCGCTTTCCTTCCTGCATATCGAGTTTCTATTCTCTTGTATCCTATCAAGAAGATCAAGAGCCATATCTATATTGTAGGAAATCAACAGGTCAGTCCTCATCCTTAATTCCACTCCAGAAAAATGGACCGAGAAATTAGCTAAATTAGTGTCATTTATACAGTGCATCATTTTCTCTGTTCCTGCTGTTGGCAGCAAGCAGACATATCTAATGTTACATTACTTTCTTCTTTCATTCACAACTACATTGTGTACCTGTTCTTTGATTCTCATTTGGCCAAGGCCCTCCCTCCTGCCCATAGCTTGCAGGATTAGTGGTCAAGGCAATTAGCATTCACCTCACCTCTGCTGTCTCATCCCTATTCCTTATTCTGCTCTGCCAGTTTTTCCAGCTCCTGCTTTCCAGGTATGTTTGCTTTCTCCCTCTTGCATCACATATCCTCCTCACTATAGTTTTTAGTTAAAACCAGGGCTTTTTTTTGTCATAGAACACCCAGAACGGAGTTCCCGCACCTTTTTTGGATGGAACCTTATAGGGTAGGCAAGGCGGGTTGTATGACGTGTGTGAGTTCCGGCACCTTTTTTTTTTTTTTTTACAAAAAAAGCACTGGTTAAAACCAACCTGAAAGAGGGAGAAAGCACAAAAAAGTGTCCCTTGTTTCTGATGTTAATGTCTCATTTCCAAGATATGGAGAAGGGGTACCTTCCCCCCCCCTCCTGCAAAGTAATTTGAGGATGTACCTTTGTGTTAAAAGTGTAGAGGAGAGACAAAATATTCTACCTTGTAGCGTATGCAGAAGGAATCCCATCACTCAGTTGAGCTCCTTTGTCTCCATATGAGCTGCTGGAGAGCCAAAAACTGCATTTTTATTAACAATGGAACCACTTAGTTTTATAGAAGCAATTTAAAATCCGGTAGAACAGGAATGGGGGATTTGTGAACCTTCAAATCTTGCTGAATGCAGCTGCTTTGATCCTTGGTCACCGGCCAAGCTGGCTGGGCATTAGGAGGGCCAGAGATGTCCCACTCCAGCCACAATGAATGAAGGTATAGGAAGAAGAGAGATCTCCATATTTTTCTCTGTGAGGCCTTCTGTTTCGCATCTTGTATTATTCTGAAGCTTTACCCTTATGGACCTTGATATGGTTGTAATGGTGGTATGAGAAGGAAAAATGTAAAACAAAGTGGAGATAATGCAGTAGCTGAAGTAATTTTGCTTCTAGTTAATGCAGCACAACTTACAAGCCACACACAGTTTCTATCACAGGCATTTCTACATTTTGCCATTATGTTTTTTACATTAAAATTAGGAGGTTTTTCTCCAAAAGAATGTACAGCTTGAAAATGCTTTATTATCTTGATTCTGTTCATATAGTTCATTTGTCACATAATGTTCATCTAAGGTAGACAAAAATGCAGTATAGACTCTAGCTCAATACAATCTGCCAGAATGTTAGCTGCACATTTGCCACCAACCCACAGATCATGGTGGACTTAATTTCCCCTAAATTGTTAATGGTTGGAACTTATTACTCTAAAATCTACTCTTTCAGTAAAGTGATTTTAATTTTTTGGCACTAGTTTGCTCACTATTGTATATTGCTTTTAATAGGTGGAATGTCATCCTTACCTAGCCCAGAGAGAACTAATAGCTCATTGCCATCAGCGGGGACTGGTGGTAACTGCTTATAGTCCTCTTGGTTCAGCTGACCGGATGTGGAAGCACCCAGATGAGCCGGTATTGCTGGAAGAACCTGGGATAAAGAAGCTCGCAGAAAAATACAACAAATCTCCTGCTCAGGTTCTTCTCAGGTATTAGTAAATGAGCTGTTGAGAGATCAGCATTAAAGATCTAAAAGAGCAGAGAACTAGACCCTAAAACTCTTTATATTCCTTATTAATACATTTAGCTAAACACTGTACAATAAAAATTGATGTTATAATGTGATGGCAAAAGGATACCAACCACTCCTGATTTTGTAAACACTTGAATTTTGATTCTGTAGTGTTGAAATGTTGCAGTGATTGTGGTGGCTAAGCGAATTTAGTATCCTCTTGAAAGGACAGAGTGTAGAAATATAATTCCAATACCAAGTCAGGCCATCGTCTGCCTAGCCCTAGGCCATTTGGAAGAGTTGCAGAGGCATTCCAGTTTTCAAACAAGCATTGGATAAAGAGATGTCAGAGATTGAATCTGAGATCTTTATAATGCAAATTTTTTTAGAATGAAAAATTCCCTAAGGGAGAAATGAAGCTGGTTTAATGGTTAAGCTGGAGACTGAGTTCTAGTCTCACCTTAGACATGAAAAGCCAGCTGGGTGACCTTGGACCACTCATACTCTCAACCCAACTCACTTCACAGCGTTGTTGTTGTTGTTGTCGTCGTTGTGGGAAAAATAAGAGGAAGGAGCATTAGACATGTTTGCCCTCCTGAAGTTAGTTATAAAAATAATAAAGGAGTGATATAAATAAATAAGGAAGAGGAAAAAGAATGTTAATTTTTTGCTATATAATTAAAACGTTATTATATTTTGTTAATAGTACAGTATTATTTTATTATACAGTATGAATGTTTTTTATTCTGTTGAAAACAACTTTGTAGTTTAAAATGAAGATTTGCAATATAAGGTGCTTTACATACATTTTAATTAAACCAGCAAAAGCAAGGAAGCAGCTTAGTTTTCTTTAAAAGAGCCTCGGATTCTAGGAATACAGTTTGAAGTTCTATTCAAAGGACCCTGATTAGTATTCTATATTCTATGTTACAATGGCATTATATTTAACTTTCACCCTAAAATTGTGTAGCCTTGTAGAGAAAATATTTTCCCTCTCAGAATAGAGCACTTTGGATTTTGTTTACTTTGAATGAGAAAAATCATAGCTTGTTGTTTAATTCTATAACAGATGGCAAGTTCAGCGGAAAGTAGTTGTTATTCCCAAGAGTGTTACTCCTGCACGCATACTCCAAAATATTCAGGTGAGTGGGACTTCCGACTGACTTGCAAGAAGACATTACTTGTAGGCAGCTTTGGTCAACAGTATTGAAGCTTTAGCTGTGTCTTTTCCTTGGTAATACATTGTACAGGTAGTCCTTGCTTACTGATTGCTCATTCAGCAACCATTTGAAGTTACAATGGCACTGAAAATAGAGATTTACAGCTGGTCCTCTCAGTGTCCCTGCAATGACACAGTCATGGTTTAAGTGCTTGGCAATTGGTAGACACGTGTGACAGTCACAGCATCCCATGATCATGTGATCTCTTTTTTGCGACCTTCACCGCTGGCTTCCAACAAGCAAAGTCAATGGAAAAGCGAGTAGGAAGTCCCAAGTCATAGTCACATACATTATGTATAATGAGTGGTTTGCTTAATGACTACACCCAGAACTGATACTGTTAGGTGCTTTTACTTTATTACAGTGTGACTTAGTGATAGAGTTATGGGTCCCAATGCAGTAAATAACTGAGGACTACCTCTATAGGAAGAATATAATTCTCAACTGATGTGTCCTGGTATCATTTTACTAGAGCTGATGAAGGCACACATGCACATTCTGATTTGTTTGAAGTACCAGCTGATCAACTAATTTACTATTGAATCTTACTACCACAGATTCTAGACTTGTTTATGTGGTTATATTTTTTACCTGCTACACTGTACTAGTTTAATATATCTGGTGCTTGCAGTTTGTGCATTCAATATATTTAATTGATCTTCACTTGTATGCTTCTGCCTCCCAGACTTTAAAGGAAATTTTTTCCCTTTTGATCTTGATAGGTCCAGTAGAATCCAACATTTCTGTGTGATATCATATTACTGTATTGCTTTAAACTGCACTTCAAACATTGTTTTAATGATGCAATTTCCTTTTGAAGTTGTTATAATCTCTTTGATATTTTTCAAAAGCTTTAGAAAAAAAATCAGATAAATATAAATCCCTTCTCTATCAGCCCTCTTATTTAGAAATCATTTAATAACAGATCTATGGCTATCTAGAAAGTGTTACAATTAATGCTATCTTATTTGCATACTCCTGAAGTGCTCAGAGAGCTTAATTTTGAATAATTTGCAAAACTTTTGTTTGTTTAACAGCTTTTTATGTTATTTCTACATGTTACTGGGAGAGGTATTACATCTGTAGATGGTTGGAAAGTTACTCTTTTTGCAATGATAGGAAGCAGAATATCAGTGCTTTTCTTTCCAAAGAATTATTGCTGAGTTTATTTCTTGTCTATGAAAAAAATATTCTTTTTCTTTAACCCACCAAAGAAAATTGCTCCTGCATCTTCTATTCCAGTGGTTCTCAACCTGTGGGTCGGGACCCCATTTGGGGTCGAATGACCATTTCACGGGGGTCGCCAAACCATGCTGTCCGCCATTTTTTTCCCTTTTCCTAGCTGTCCTACTCCCTCTTATTGGTGGCCACACCCACTTGGGGGTCACCACAACATGGGGATCTGTATTATGGGGTCATGGCATTAGAAAGGTTGAGAATCACTGTTCTATTCAGTTAAATTTAGGTTATGGGAAAAATGAACAGTTAATCCAGGAGAATAAATCAGTAATAGTCAGTTTGGCATCTTGTCAGTCAAGGAAGGTGGCTGTAAGTTGGGCAGCACTAGCCTAACTCAGGAAGCTGATTCTGTAGGACCCGTCCTTACCTTTTCATGGTGAATCACCTGCTTCTTTGATTTTGCAAAAGTTCATGATGATGAAATCCTGAGTGGAAATCAAACTTCTTCTATAGTCATGAACTATCCTCTCATTGTCGTGTTGTGACTTAGTTTACTTGAATAACTATGGCATAGTAGGCCTGTTGAGAAAGTTTCAAACTCCATGGTACTTTCTTGGAACTTTACAAAAGCTTCTGCAGTAATATGCCTGAATATATTGTGACTCATTCAGCTATAAGCGTACGACTGAACACCTTCCGTGTAACTGTTCAGCCTTGTTGGAATATTAATAAAGCTACTAGAGCTCCAATTTCCAGTGCATTCAGCCACTATAGACAATAGTGTGAGATGCTGAGATTATTACAGGAATATCCGAAAGATCACAAATTTCCCAACTCATTACAATAGTCACTATTGTCCCCTATCACCAGTTTTCACCAAATTATATAATGTTCTGAAGTTGCTTTTTGTGATGAAAATTTTGCAAGGAATAAACAAACTTTATTAATATGAACTCCTACTGAGGAATTTGCTTCTCTGTGTTCAGAGATTGCTGCTTTCCTAGTACTTGTTTTTCTGCTGTATTTCTCATTGAGGCAAAAATTATAAGATTTCTGTAATCTACACTCCAAATGTGTAGTATATAGCACCGCCTAGTAGAAAGTGTGAGTTTTTTAAGGTTGTTTCCAGTATCAGTTTCCTTGCAAGATGTCCTGTGTTAATAGTTTTGCCAAGTTTCTGAAGTTTGGGTCTATTTCTGTACAGTGCTATAAGTAGCTAGACCAGTGGTTCTCAACCTGTGGGTCGGGACCCCATTTGGGGTCAAATGACCATTTCATGGGGGTCGCCAAACAAGGCTGTCTGCCATTTTTTCCCCCTTTTCTTTGGCCACGCCCCTGGCACCCGGTGATGTATAAGTGGTTGGGGATCACCACAACATGGGAAACTGTATTATGGGGTCATGGCATTAGAAAGGTTGAGAACCACTGAACTAGACAATGGAAGTCATCACAAGGAGATAATTTCACAATTTAAAAATAATGAAACTTTACAGATGAAGATTTTTTTTCACACTTAAATCTTTTACAAAGAGTCAGAAACACTGAAAAAGATTATTTCTATAGACCAGGCATGCTTGCCGACAAAAAATGATGTTTTCTTTAAGTGGTTAAGATGTGCAATGCTTTAGACCTGCAGCCAAAAATGTGCTTCCGAGTGGGCGGGCGCATTCATATCTCATCTATCTGCATTACCTTAAAGCAGTGTTTCCCAAACTTGACAATTTTAAGGCATGAGGACTTCAACTCCCAGAATTCCACAGCCAGCAATGCTGGCTGTGGAATTCTAGGAGTTGAAGTCCACATGCCTTAAAATTGTCAAGTTTGGGAAACACTGCCTTAAAGAAGCTGCATCTTTAAGGAGATGCAGCATACACACCCATTCCCACTTCAAAGCATCTTTTGGCTTTGGCACTGAAGTATTGCACATCTCTTAGTAGAGAGCTCTGATTACTTAGATATGTTCTCCACCTGTTTGCATTTACATGTGTTCCACAAGCAGAATTTTTAAGCTGTTAAGTGAAAATCATAGCCTTAATTAACAGTAAATGTATTTACATGTTTTAGGTGTTTGACTTCAACCTTACCATTGAAGAGATGAGCTTTATTGAAGGCCTGAATAAAAACTGGCGATATATTGTGCCAATGGTTACGGTAAATGTTGTTTCTGTTCATACAAAATAAATAAATAAAAAGAAACTGAAATTTGTAAAATACCCACTGAGTGTGCTTAGTCTCCTATCCCTTCAACAGCTGGTCTATCCTGTTCTGCCAAAAAACAAATACATGTTTAAACTCTTTAAATGTTTTCAATTAAAAGTTGCAGTTAAGAAATGGATTAAGGTACAAATAAATCCATAACATCCAGTAACAATGTTTTCATGCTTATTTCTCCAAAGTAAAAATCTGTGTGCCCTCTAGTGGCTTGTGAACTATAGAACAAAATTATAAAGTGACCCTGTTGCTGTTACAAAGGTTGCCTTTCAAAACTCTCACAATTTGGTAAACCTAAAACCATATCAGAAAAGTAGAATTAAAGGAATGAAATCATGTTTCATCCTATTAAAATACCTCAAATATTAAAATAAAACTAACAAACGATAATAAGAAAACAGAATATATTTTTGAGACTAGTATAAGTTTAGATATAACCTTTACCTTTGTTGCGCTGGTCATATTAACATACTGTAGATATAGATAATGATGATGATGATGTCTGTTCATATCTACAGTATTTCTCGACCTTGACAATTTTCAGATATGAGGATTTTAATTCCCAGAATTCCTCAGATAGCTTGATGGCTGCTAGCTGGAGAAATGCTGGTCTGCATGCTGACTGGGGAATTCTAGAGTTGAAGTCCACTTATCTTAAAGTTGCTAAGGTTGAGAAACACTGTACTAGTGAATGGTTGAAGATCAAGCTTGGCTGCTGGGTTTGCTGACTTTTTTGAAGGAAACATGACTAGGTGGGCTGAATATGTTTATATCTTAATTTTTTTTTGCATCATTATATAGTATTACATTGTCATTCAGTGACTTTCAGCTGTATTACATAAACTGATATTCATCCCTTATCTGTCATCTCGGTTGCATACTGCAATAGTTTATTTAAATGTTCCTCCCATTTTTCTTTGTAAACTACATGATGAAGCAATCTGTTCTTGGAAATTCTTGGTGATGTTAATCAGTTCATGGATTCTTATAAATGGTCTAAGAGAGTGATATGTGCCAATATCCTTAGGATAACAAGGAGCATTATTGAGAATCAGCCATAGCTTGAAAACTGCATTTTTAGTTTTCAAATAATGTTTATTTCATGGGTGAAACAGATTTTGACTCAGTCATGAAAAGTGCACCAGTTACCCATGCCTTTCTACCCTCTAGAAAAGGGGAAGATGGCTCTAGTTCTTATTCCTATAAGCATATGGATGAAGGACCCTGATATAAAAACATAAAATCTTGACCGTTAAATCTCTGGAGCACTGCCAGGTGCTTAGTTTTCTTCTAAGACCATCACAAACCTAAAACACTAAGCAATTCCAGTACTGATTGTGTGCTTAGAAATCATTTTAATCATATTTATTAATATTATTTATCATTTTATTTAGGAAACTGTTACTATATAAGTCAGATGCCTGTGTCTCATTTGGATATCAGTAACTTACAAGGCCAATGCATATACAGGTAGTCCTCGTCTTACAACCACAACTGAGCCCAAAATTTATGTTGCTAAGTGAGAAATTTGTCGTGAAATTTGCCCCATTTCACGATTTTTCTTGCCACATTTGTTAACTGAACCGCTGCAGTTGTTAAATTAGTAGCACAGTTGTTAAGTGAATCTGGTTTCCCCACTGACTTTGCTTGTCAGAAGGCTGCAAAAGATGATCACATCACGGCACAACACTGCAACCGTCAAAAATGTGACTCAGTTGTCAGGCACCTGAATATAACCATGTGACCGTGGCTGCAATAGTCATACGTGTGAAAAATGGTCATAAGTCACTTTTTTTCAGTGCCATTGTAACTTCTAGCGGTCACTAAATGTATTGTTGTAAGTCGAGGACTACCTATATACACTCGTGCCTAGAACACTTATGAATGTGTGTACAAGTGAGATATTTTCAACAGAGGTTCACTGAGAAAGAATGAGATCAGCCTGCATAGTTGCTTCCCACCCTCTCTTATGGGAAGAGTCTTGCATCAGGACATATCATCTTTCCCTCCCTTGCCAATACTTAGATTCTGAGAGTTATGAAAGGGAAGTTGATCTACAGAAAATCTTCCATGGAGATCAAATTTGTATGGTTGTTTGGTTATTGCAAAGGATCACTGTGGTATCAATTTGACTGAAAATTGAATAGAATTTTCAAAATTCTAAATGTTAGTTAAGGTCATCTGCAAAAGTGCAATGTCTCCTTTCCGTTCTCTTAAGACAGGGGTGTCAAACTCAATTTCATTGAGGGCCGCATCAGCATTGCGGTTGCCCTCGGGGGACTGGGTGGGTGTGGACAAGGTAGGTGCGGCCTACTGGGTGGGCATGGATGGAGTGGGTGTAGCCTACTGGGTGGGCATGGCCAGCTTTACATTGTTCGCATCAAGGGGGCCTGTGGGGGCCTGGGCAGGAGTGGGACAGTTCTGAGGGTCTCTGGCAGAAGGGGGTGGAATCGGGGCAAGCGCCAAGGCAGGGCCCATTTCTTCATTCCTCACAAAGGGTGACACCTTCCCAGCATGCACCCGGGGAGCGAGGCCCACATGGCAGGGGCTGGTTCCTCAGTGTTTCTAGACGGCCTTGTGGAGCTAAGACTGAATGCGTTTCAGCATAGATGGCCACCACAAAATTGTACATTGACTCCTGGCCAGCCTGGGCCAGGGCCAAGATAGCGGGGGCCATTCCCTCACTGTTTCCAGGATGGCTTCATGGGCCACATGAAACTACTTCGTGGGCCGCATCTGGCCCCTGGGCCTTGTGTTTGACATGTCTGTCTTAAGAGTTACCACTGGAGTAGATGTTTTTAAACATGTTTCTTTTAAAGTGTTCTTTTCAAAACTATACATTGATACATCTGATATAGCAAATGTAAATATTTAAAATGTTTACAGTTCTCGCCAAGCTTTTGTTTCTATTCTCTGATTTCTTACTATATATTTAAAAAAAACCAAGCTGCAAGCTGTGCTGCTTCAGATGCCTAAACTGTAGTTATTTAGTGATATATTTGCTATCTTTGCATATCTAATGTAGTATTGTGCTGATTTTAGATTGCAATTGATACAAAAGTATCCATTTTTTCAGAGAAGTAGAAATGATGACTTTGTTATTAAATAGTCAAATTTCAGAGAATGCTATATTCACTTTGAAATAATAGAAACAATTGTGTTTCCTTTTAAGTAACACTTTTCTTTTATCTTTCACAGGTGGGGGACAAAATGATAGCAAGAGATGCTGGACACCCCCTATATCCCTTCAATGATCCATATTAATTCATAGAGTTTGCCAAAATGAGAGTGTATTTCCGTTCAGGACTGCTAGTGCCATCAAGAAATTTAAAAAAAAAACTTAAATAATGTTTTATATCTGTAGGATTGCATTTAATCCTGAAGAGTTAACAATGGTTTGAGAGAAATAACTGTTTAACAATATAAATTGTACAACCTGAATTTTTTTTACGAGCTCTTAACTAACATGTTCCTGCATCTTTTTTTTAAACATCTGGACCAAAGTATTTTCTCAAAATGTAATAAGGTGCAAAGAGGAATACATGCAAGAAGTATATAGCAATAGCACTTAGACTTATATACCGTTTCACAGTGCTTTACAGCCCTCTCTAAGCGGTTTACCGAATCAACATATTGCCCCCAACAGTCTGGCTCCTCAATTTACTGACCTTGGAAGGTTCCTCATTTTACTGACCTTGAGCTGGTCAGGATCGAACTGACAAACTGCTGGCAGCGGCAGTCAGCAGAAGTAGCATGCAGTACTGCATTCCAACCACTGTGCCACCAGGGCTCTTTCCACATACCTAAATTTAAATGTTGGATCTCCTGTCATAATTCCTAATAGTTAGGTAAAGATTGTGACCACAGGGTTTATGACTTTATCCCAATATATGTCTGGTAGCACAGATTAGAAGAGTACAGTATGCATGGTATTGCTGCTGCCTTTAGAGCTGAATGAAAATAATTTGCCACCTCGGCTTATATTTAGCTACATTACTTCTATCACATAGTAGGATCATCTTCCAAAATAGAGATCTCTAACTCTCTGGATATGTGAGCACATTTGATTTTACGTGTCATAAAATGGCTGCCATGGTGAGCATGTCACAGAACACTGGAAAGCGAACTAATAAAGTTATAATCTATTTCGAGACTCTTTGTCTCCCAGGTGCATGCTACTATCTTATTTTTGTTCTTTAGTGCACCTGTCTCCCTAGAATTTATGATAGGTGAATTTTAAAGAAGTCTCGCATGGCTTAAGACCTACTCTTTCACAAAAACTGAAATCACATCTAAAATAGTTTGGTGCAATGGTTAAGATGCTGGCCTAAAATCCAGGAGACTTTAAGTTTTGATCCTGCCTTACATCTTACCTTGGCATGAAAGCCATCTGGATAACTTTGGACCAGTCACTCTCTCTCAGCCCAACCACTTCACAGGGTGGTTGTTGTGGGAAAATAAGAGGAGGAAGGAGTATTGTGTATGTTCACCATCTTGCTTGTAATAAAGATGGGATAAAAATCAATCAATAAATAAGTAAAACAGGCTTCCCAAAATCACCCTGTCCCCTTTGAATTGAATGTTAATGTGTTTCCCAGCTCCCATCCATTATAGAATTTAAGTGGTGTTCAAGAGTACTAATGGCTTTCTGGGAGGGAAACTATAGAGCAGTGGTTCTCAACCTGTGGGTCGGGACCCCATTTGGGGTCGAACGACCATTTCATGGGGGTCGCCAAACAAAGCTGTCCACCATTTTTCCCCCTTTGGCCACGCCCCTGGCACCCGGTGATGTATAAGTGGTTGGGGGTCACCACAACATGGGGAACTGTATTATGGGGTCGCGGCATTAGAAAGGTTGAGAACCACTGCTATAGAGGTTGGTTATCAGCATATTGACAGTATCTCATCATGGATCTGTATAGATTTGAAATCTAACTTCATAGGGAACAAGATAAAATGCTAGGAAACATAGTAATTTAGCAGTTAAGATATAGAATGGTAATTCCTCCATCACTATCTTCTGGTGCAATCTCTCAGGGAACATTGAAACAACTCTAAAATAATGCCTTTAAGCATGGCCCCTGCCATAACCAATGACATTAGTTACCAAAGATTCTATGAAAAGTACTAGCACTACACTGCTCTTGTGCAGATCATTCATCAAAGTAGTCTGACCTGAAACAATAACAGATTGTCATCTTCCCAAAACAATACCGTCAAACAAGTAAATTGATATTTCAGGCTTTTTTGTAACATTTTTGTTCTGTAGCTTTATTTTATTTACATGAAATCCGGGACATGACCATTGAAGTAAAGACAAGGATAGAAAAAGCCCGAAACAGCATTCTTCAAAATGAAAAAGGCCTTCTGCAGTCACGACATAAGCTAAGACTGAAAATCAGGCTTGTCAGATGTTATATTTTTTCTATCCTTCTGTCAGAGTTGGTCTCTGAAAGAAGGCCACCTGAAGAGACTAGAAGCATTTGAAATATGGATTTACAGGCGGCTGTTATGTATAAGCTGGGTTGACAAGATCAGAAATGAGGTGATAAGCCGCCTGGGAAAGCCAAGGGACATCATTAAAACAATTAAAAAACAAAAATTAAAATATTTCAGACACATGATGCGACACCCAGAAAAATACGGCATACTTCATTTAATCCTCCAGGGAAAGTTTGAAGGCAAACGAGGTCCAGGCAGAAGAAGAACACCATGGCTTCAAAATCTAAGGGATTGGTTTGGATAAAACTCAGCAGCACTTTTTTGTGCACTGCTGATAAAAACAGGATCGCCAACATGATCACCAACGTCTGATAACAGATATGGCACAAGAAGAAAAAGCTTTTATTCCTGTAAAGTATCACTGTGAAATATTATTATACTCCTGTAATTAGAATTTAGGAATACAGAAATTAGGGCACTATAGCTTGTGTATTAATCTGCTTCAGCGTGTTTAATAATAATCCCTTTTAAGTAATGAATCTTGCAATCTGAATAACTAAGTTACTTCCTTGTAGCAACCTCAGCAACCCTAAGGTGTGACTTCAACTCCTACCCTGGGGAATTCTGGGGGTTGGTCCACATACTTTAAAGTTGCTGAGGTTGGGAAATGTTAGAGCAGAAAAAAATGATAATTTCTAATATAAAGCCCCAGGATGTTTACATTTTCACTATAAACATCATGTAATTAGGTTAAGTCACAGATACATTTTAAGATTTGATGCCACATAGAAGGATATATGAATTCAAGAACTTTAGAAGCAGTGTAGCACCACAGATGTGGAATGTTCTTTTTTATATATAAAGTACAGTTGTATTAACTAAAGTGATGGCTCATGAATGCACATATGGAGTTTCTTGGCATAATAGGTTTAATCATAGTTAATAGAATCATTGTCTATCCTGACCAAAAGTTCTACATTTGATACTAACTAACCATAGTGGCCAGGTTCACACCATAGGCTAAAATATGATTGGCTAGATTAGTTCATTAGCCAATTTAGCTACTAATAGGGGCTTGGACAATGTTTTTGTACAGATGTATACTCTAAAATTTTGTTTAATTTTTATCTTAAGTGTCTCATACCAATACAATAATAATGTTCAGTGCAAAAAAGTTCTGAAGTTTTATTTTTCAGTGTAATGCCTTTATGAAAGCTTGCAACCCAGATCAAACACTTTAGTAATTGTAGTTTTTCTACATCCACTAAATCTTACTGTAATACTCTAATCTACAGAGATTATAAAAGGATTCTTAAAAGATGACTATTTTAGTTTATAGCACGGTGAAATGTTGATATAATCATAGAAAAAATTATTTCTGTTTGAATTACTAATACTTCATCTACTTGTTTATGAGAGTACTCCCTATATAGTACTAAGAAATATAAGTCTAAGGCCTATTGCTGTTTTTACAAATAACTCATATACAGCATTTCCGCTTATGAGAGTTGTTCATGAGTTGGATGTTTTTTTACATTATACTGTATGGTTAGCTAATTTGTGTTCTGTCTGAACGCTGAAAAGAAGGTTAATTTACAGTTCAAGTATTATGCAGACCATAGCATTGATTAATTCAGTAAACAATGATTCTTTAAATTAAGGATTAATATGGAAACAGCCACCAATTACTGCTCCCACAAATGCAATGCTACTTCTTCCCTCCAGAAACTTTTCATAGTGAATAGAACAGTGTGCACTTAGTTGCATAAAAGATTAAAGATTTGTACTCTCCATCTGATCATCTCTCTGTGAGAGGAGGCTCAAGTAAGCCACATTTCACACTAATACCCTTTTACTTATGCAGACTGGGAGCATCTATGCGTACCTTTTCTTCGGGATTATTTCGGGATAGACTAGTTGATCCAAGTTAAAGCAATAACGTAAGACGGGATAAAAGCCCGGGGAATTTGTTTGAAACAAATATATTGCACAACCAATTATTTTTAATGCTTGCAAATCGGTTCTCATGCTTGCAACCCACAACTACTATTTTGTGAGATTGCATTTTCCAGCACGCCGAGACGGTGAGCTTTATTTACTCCGATTTTTGGACTACCTTTCCCAAAATGCCAATCGAATTGCAGAGGGAACCACCCAGTTCTATTACAATGGTAGCTACCGGTATTAATGACACTCATCAAGAGACTGCCTTTCCTTTATTTTGAAGACGTCTTCCAATTCGTCGAAAGCCCTTAGCAAGAGACCACAAGGCATTCTGGGAAACGTAGTTCCTTTTCCGGGAGAGCGTGCTTCGCGCCACTGGGGCGTGTCCTCAAGGGCTATATAAGCATCTGGAGGGGCGGTGGGCTGCGTTTGTCTGCTGATTATTGCTTCGTTTTCGGTTTTCTGTGGCGGGTCGTTGGTTACCATCGCCTTTTAAGGTACAAGGGGCTTGAGGCAGGATTTCTTTCTTCCGAGCTGGATAAGCAGGAAGGGGGAGTTGAGCTGTGGGTTCGTGTAATAAAGGGGCGACAGCGGCCGCGATACCAAAGAGCCTTTTCTGAGGCTTTAAGCGTTTATTCTCAGGTCGTAATCTGTGATGTTCGGACACAGCTGTACAGTTTTTGATCCGGTTTTTTTCCCTGTTATTTTTCTCCATTTCTTTGAAACCTCACCAATTCTCTCCCCCCCCCCTTGAGTGGGTTCGTACGTGCCGTCCTCTGCGTGATGGAGGCGGAGGTTCTTAAAAACTGAGACACCACGTGACCTGGCTGGAGTTTATGCCGCCATTTTTAATAGCTATCAATCTGGCGCGCGCCAAAGCGAGGGAGGGGGTGGTGGGAGTAGAAGGAAGGGAACGAGTCACGTGGCCAGCAGTCTTGGCCCATCAAAAGCGGCCGTTGAGATTTGGCGCCGAAAGCACTGACAGGAGAGTCGAGAAAGTGGCCCATTGTCTCTTCAGGTGAAGGCTTCCGTAGGAAGTGGGACGCTTTAAAACA